CTCTCCCTCTCCCTCTCCCTCTCCCTCTCCCTCCCTCCCTCTCCCTCTCTCTCTCTCCCTCCCTCTCTCTCTCCCTCCCTCCCTCCCTCCCTCCCTCTCTCCCTCTCTCTTTCCCTCCTTCTCCCTCTCTCTCTCCTAACTTGTTTTGCAAAGCGATCATACATAAACAAAGATGTATACACACACGTAATCAATAAAAAACAAATAACATCAGCAAACATCCAAGGACTGAATCCCTATAGGAATTAGAGGGGTACATGTACACACATGTTGTATGTGGATAAGGATGAAATCAACATATGAAATACATATAAGTGTAATTGTAGGAGTATTGTAATAGGAGATTGTGTTGATAAAGAAAATACATTAACTATAATGTGCATGAACTAGCTCTGTGTGTGTGTACGTGTGTATTTATTGCATTAATTGTCTGAAGAAGGAAAGGAAACATAAAAAGGCTGAGAATATTCTCTCCTCTCTCTGTCTGTCTCTCTCTGTTTCTCTGTCTCTCTCTCTTCATCCTTTTCATATCAAAAAATTGACAAAGACATACTGTGAAACATACCACAAAGGTACCCAACATGACTTGTACTGGTAGCGTAAAATTTAATCAAAAACCACACCCGCTATACTTAAACGAGCTAGCTAGGTACAAGTACATGAGTGGCTCCAGCAGTGGGAGTGGGAAAGATACAAAAGAAAAAAAGGAAAAAATTAGGAGGGAGTAGCAAGAAAGAGAAATAATTGGGACAGAAAATCAGGAACAATTTTGGATCAATTTTATAAAATAATAATAATTATAACACTTTAATAAGTATGTACATGTATATGTATCACACACACTCTCTCTCTGTCTCCTCCTTACTTCCAGACATCTCCTTTTGTTAGAGAATAAAAAACTTGACAAAGAAAGAACCGCCCCAGCTACAGTTATGAAAAGAGAAAGAAAGATCATAAAGAAGAGAACGTTTATACAAAGGATCGTGTCAAAATATTTCCTTGTCTCTCACTATTGAGGTATTCGAGGCTCGTGAGAGAGAAGCTTATGTTAAAATGACACCTCTGTCCTTCACGCTGTAGCCTATAACTGGTGATTGGTCAGTCTCGCTTCTCTTTAGCGACTACTGGATTACATCCATTCCCTTCAGTGTCTCTCTTCACTGATCATTGATCAATTAATAAAAGGATGACCACGCCCACAGGAACATAACAATTATTATTATTAATTAATTTTGGAGCTATTATAATGAAATTAATATTGGAAGAAAATGATTATTAAATCAAGGTGGAATAGATAAATGACCATTATATCTCATTAAAACTTCATCCTGGATCACAGCCACTACACGAGCATATGCTTCCCTCCATTTTTCATTCGTTATACTTTGAACCACTCTGTGAAAGCATTTTAATGAGAGGCTGACTATTTCTAATGCATTTAGGTCGATAAGTGAGATTAAAAACTGTATAAATATCGTAGAGTCTCTTTCTTTTGGACCGGCTGGATACAAGGCAACCCAAGCCTTTATATGAGTCCTTGTTTCGTTAAGAAACCTCTCGGGGTTACCGTTTGAGAGAGAAGAAAGAGAGGGAGGGAAGAGAGGGTTTGCTAGCGATGGCTCAGTTGAAACAGGCTCTAGTGTCACTCTTTCCTTATCTTGTCTCTTGCTGTAGCTGTCAAACACTTCCTCTTGAAGATCTGAAGGCAATGCTAAAAGGACACTTTGATCTAACTGTGAAGCAGGTGGCAAATCTAACATTGCAGATTCAAAACTAGTACAACCATCACCAGCAGCTGTGTTTTGATACTCAACTCTCTCTTCTCTCATTACACTAACAGAAGCTCCTTCTTCTCCTCCTCTCTCTGATTTTAAAACACTTCCAAGAGATCTTTTACTAGCAGGGCTTCTTTTACCAGGGGATGATGTCATAAGTGTCCTTATATCTGCCATCTTGCCTCCTTTTACCGGAGAACCCTTTACAGAAGATGATAGCTTATTTAAAGCAATGCCCATGCCTCGAATATCTGAAGGATTAGGTGATAGCTGTTTCAATAAGGATATAGCAACACGGCTGATGTCTCCACTATCATTAGTGGGGATGTGGAGTTGTTGTGAGCGGGATATATTATCACATCGTCCGTGTCCTAAATACTTCTTTGTCTCCTGTGGGGCAGTCTTTTGTCTTATTTTCAATTTGAGGCTGATCGAAGAGCCGAGTACTCCGGTATCAAGCGCTCGGGATTGAAGCTCCTCCGATAATTGCGTTAAAAGTGATTCTGCCTCTGATATCTGCTCAAATCTCATCCCGTAATTGATCTCGACTGATATCGATTTCCGCTCCTTTTTCGTCGTGAGGTCGCGATTATCAATCCCACGGGCAAAGCAATAAAGAGTATACCCTGTTTTGGGACCAAACACTTCCCTTAGTTTAGGCAGAGACACTTCTCTTAATTCGCCACAATTTGATACTCCCATTTTACTAAGCTCTTCTTTCATTTTTCGTCCAATGCCAGGAAGACTTGCCACAGGTGTCTCTTTTAAATATCCTTCTACTTCTTCTTCCGATAAATGAAACTGACCGTTTGGTTTAGCTTTACGAGTGGCTAGCCTAGCTAGTAGCAAGTTGTGTGAAAAACCAGCAGAGACTTTACAGCCGGTCTTTTCCTCAATCTCAGACCGTAAGGACTTAACGATATCCCCCAGTTCTTCCCAGGAGGTGACATAGTCGGAGAACTCTATAAAAACCTCGTCACAACTCACGGGTTCCACTAGATGACTATAAGTTATAACAGTCTCGTACAGGGTCTGAGATACAGCGTGATATTTTTCAAACTCGTATGGAATGAAAGTCAAACTAGGACACAAATTAATAGCCTCGCCGACCGACATCCCGTTACGAATGCCAAAATCCCTTGCTTCGTATGAGCAGGAGGCAACATCCGACATTGATTGATGAAGACTGACTCCGACCACTTCGGTAGTATCTGCTTCTCCTTCTTTGTTCCTTGCATGAGTCACTGCTACTGGTTGGCCATGGAGCCCAGGCCGATCCCGTAGCCCGACTGATACAAAAAATGAGTCAAGGTCAAGATGTACGACTCCCTTTACTCCAAATCGTCTAAGACTCTCGCCGGAACTAAGCATTGAAAACTTTCGTTTGGCACGAGGAAGGTTTTTACTCGTGAACTCTTTCAGCTCCGAGGCCCACGTTGACAAATGATGCAGCCTGGAATGGCTGTAAAACTCGTCCACAAAACTCCGATCTTTTTTTGTGGGCGGGTCTTCCGGCCCCGCCTCTTTTTTGGCCGTAGGCGAAAAAGATATTTTTCTTTGAGATTTCGACGAGACGCTATAAAGTTCGTATTTTTCAGTTGGCAAGAGGGAGCCGGCATTGACGCTGTCTAGAATCCAGTCGGGGTGACATACTTTGCTGCTGTTGATGGATAGCGCTTTGATCTTTGCTGTGGGGAGGTTGGTGGCGATCACGTGACTGACACGTGACGTGAGGGCGTAGCTATACCCGCCCCCATGCTTGCAGATTATCTCTTTGAGGGTGTCAGCGTCTGGTTTAGTGTATCCATTCACGTATATGGTTACTCCAGAAAATATTTTACCGTCTCCTTCAACATCTTCGAGTTGGTCTTGCAATTTCTGCCGTTTTACGGTCATGTAGCTTTTATGATCCTCCCAGTCGAACGCCATTTTATTACAAGCCACACCTTTTGGTTATTAAAAAGTTAACTTATTAAAAGTTATTAAGTTTTGAAATTTTATTTTTAACCCTTACAGTCAATGGTGGTGGGTGTGTATTTACAGCTGAGCTCGTTTACAAATTCTCCTTTTTTCCTGTAAAGAAATCTTCCTTTGGCCAAAGAAACAGACTCTTCTGTCTTTCTTCTTCTACCGGTCCTACTGTATAGCTAGTAAGGACTAGATACGGCCAATACCCCAGGGAAATGTCTGACGAAGATCAAGTATCACTCACTCCACCTCCTCCTGTCCATCCAGAGACTGAAGAAAGGACTGAGGAGGGAGCTAATTCTCCTGTTCAAGAGTCCAACTATCAAATAGTGTTTGGGGTGGAGACAGAGAGAGGGGAGGGGGAGGAGGAAGAGAAGAAACAGGTTGATCCTGTCCCTCCCTCCTCCTCTCTCCTCTCCTCTTACCTCCCCTCTGAGAGTTCCGGAGAGACAGTCAATGAGAGGTCATCTGAGTCTCACAGCTCTGTCTCGGACTCGGTCTCAAAATCCGAGTCTCAATCCGAGGAAACGGAATCAAAATCTGAGAATGAGAGTTCCGCAGTGTCCAGGTCTGAATCAGAAGATGCTTCGAAACCTGAATCTCAAAACCTTGACACCGATTCCAAGGATTCCAATCCCAAGGATTCTGATTCCTCGAAAACCGAGACTGATTCTCCCGATCCAGTACCAGACTCAAAACCAGAGCCCAACAAGACCCCGTCAAAACCTAAACCCACGGTCCCCCCTATCTCTCCAGTACCGGCTCCTTCCTCGCCCACGGACTCCCTCCTGTCACCATTGTCACCTCCGCCAGTACCTTGTGTCCTATTTGAGGGTGTGCATTATTTAGGATCCTCTACAGTCGATGCACCTGTGAGTGAGAATGAAGCAAATCGTAAGATGACAATATTGAAAGAGCAGGCGGCCCAGTCTATTCCAGTCACATTATCTATACCTACTAACAATACAGGTATGATAATAATAATAATAATAATAATAATAATAATAATAATAATGGATTTTACAACTTGAATTGACAAAAAGGAACAAACGCAATCTTGAGTAAAAATTTGAGAACTTTGAGCAGTTGAAGGCTTAAACGAGTGTTTAAACCTTCAACAGTCCTTCAATGGTATGAAGGATCTTCCTGTATCATACATTGTGATATATTTAAAGTTTCTATAAATGTACGTCATAATTCGAAGATTAAAAATCTTACTTTATGTTTGATGTTATAAGCTCTTTGGTCATAACATGTATAGCAGTGACTTTTTGCAGTGTAAACTGACCTTATCTCTTCATTTTAATATAGAATGGACGCATATACATGCACATGTAAATACATGTATGATAATGTGTTATCTAATTCTGCTACTTTCTTGTACATGTACACAGTATCTTCCTGTTTCTATATTTTATCAACAATTCAACATAATGTTATTATAATATCTTTACTCTAGAGAGTACATGTAAACCGATACAGGTACATGTATTGATAACTTACTGTAATTATACTAATTACATGTAAATTGATAGTTCATTAAATACTATCACATGTATTTATTGAATTACATGTACATGTACTGTATTATCTAGTGTGTCATTTTGATTGCAATCATTCACTATTGAAATACAATGTACATGCATACATTGAAATTATTTATAATAATAATAATAATGTATTATTATTATTATTATTATTATAAAAATAGCCAAAAATTATTTTAGTACATGTACATGTACATGCATAATAAATTGATGTACATGATAAATTGATGATGTAAATGTTGTATTAACCTACTGTACACGTACATGTTCATACAGGTCTGTATTATGATAATTATAATTATTTATGATATTTTAGGTAGCATCATATTAAGAGACCCAACTGCTGATCAGGTCCTAATAGCTTTCCTCATTCGCTATGTGCTATTCTGTGCCAGGGGGCAGGTAGATAGTGGACTTCACGATTGTATTGCCATCAACGTCCTACACAAGAAAAGTGGCGTCTACCATTGTCACGTTTTTAGATGTGATTTACCAGAATTGGTATGTACATTTAAATGCATCTGTGATTGTGAATGATAAATTTTTTTTCTTCTTTTTCAGTGTCAGAGGTTATTTGAGGCTATTGGCAGAGCTTTTAAATCAAAAGTATGTGGCGCAATTTTGTACATGTGCATGTAATCGACACGCCTTGATTTGTTAATCATGTAAACGTACATGTACATGTACATGTACTTTTACATGTACATGTACATGTACTTTCGCTGTATGCATAGAATACATTAATTATTGATGTATGTTGATTATGGAAGATCATGAGTGATTCTTATCTTAATTATCTATAATGAGTAAATTATGAAGGTTTCTGTGCTACACAGACTCAATTTTGGATTTTTTTGTACATGCACATGTATATATCCATGAATTCTACATGTACATGTACATGTACATGTAATTAAATAATAAAAATAATAAATTATATATTTATGTATATGTACATGTATATATTTTTTCTCTTTATTCTTAGGCATTAGCTAAAGACTCCAATTCTGTCTCCCATGAGTTGGATATACAGGTTGACATACTGGAGGATGATGGCAAGGGACACTACTCCTCCGTCTCTATGGACAAGGATTGCTTTAAGCTTCGTTCGAATACAAAAAAGAAGCTTCTCTTTAACGTATCACAGGTTCTGACTCCATCCAGCAACCCTTTGAAATTTGAAAAGTAAGCGTGTTTCATATTTTTAAGTTTAAAAAAAATTTAAATTGTTACATTGCACATGTATCTGAATATACTAGTAAAGTCATGAAATTATGAGATAAATTGAAACATTATACAGTACTTATATACATGCATAATACTTGTAAATGTAAAATTATTTTAATTTTTATCTTCTACTTATTCTGTAGGTGTTTTGGGATTTTGATGGCTGTAGGTCAAGATTTACCTCGGAACAAGTTACACCTTTTGGACAATGCAGTAAGAAAGATATAGAGAAGACATTTCTATTATACTCACATTATAATGTACTCTCTCTCTCTCTCTCTCTTTCTTGTTCTTTTTCTCTCTCTTTCTTTCTACAGCAAGTATCTACTAACAATCTTCCAGAGTGTTCCATATTCACAGTTTCTGGTTTCTGGGACACTAGTCTACCTTCTCTAGCAATACTGAATGAAGACACTTCTAAATGTCAGTTTATGACAACTGTACATCTGCATGTACATGTACATGCTAGTTTCTTTTTATGCATGTAACTTGAAAATTTGAAGTCGGAATCAGCTCAAGCTTTCTACGTAGCATAAGTACATCAATGTGTATCAGAAAATGTAATAAAAATTGGTGGTGATTTTGGAGCCATTTTTTGGAAAAAACCATGGGCTATAGCCTTGGGTACTTTTCAGATTTTGGCTACTTTTTAAAAATGGCCATAACTTGAAAATTTGAAGTCGGAATCAGCTCAAGCTTTCTATGTAGCATAAGTACATCAATATGTATCAGAAAATATAATAAAAATTGGTGGTGATTTTGGAGCCATTTTTTGGAAAAAACCATGGGCTATAGCCTTGGGTATTTTTCAGATTTTGGCTCATTTTTAAAAATGGCTGTAACTCAAAAAATTGAAGTTGGAATCAGCTCAAACTTTCTACACAGCATAAGTACATCAATATGTATCAGAAAATGTAATAAAAATTGGGGGTGATTTCTGAGCCATTTTTTGGAAAAAACTATGGGTAATTTTCAGATTTTGGCTACTTTTTTTAAATGGCTGTAACTCAAAAAATTGAAGTCGGAATCAGCTGAAACTTTCTACACAGCATAAGTACATTAATATGTATCAGAAAATGTAATAAAAATTGGGGGGTGATTTTGGAGCCATTTTTCTAAAATGTAATATTAAGACTGTCTCCACAATTATTGGTCTGTTCTTTCTCTCTTTCAATAGCTAAGCATCACTTCATCACAATTGCTGTTGATGCTGTAGCTCATAAAGTCAGTGAACCAATCAGAATGATAAGGTAAGAGAGAGAGAGAGGGAGAGAGAGAGAGTTGGTTTATCAATTATCACTTTAGAGAGGTGAAGGTTCGTATGTCAAAAGGTGAGACTTTCAGTTCGCTTCTTTCAACTTTAACAAGACGAAAACTGGCAGTGGAAACAATGATACTGTCACTAGAGAAAGTAAATATTATGAAAACATAATTTATTATTATTATTATTATTATTATTATTATTATTATTATTATTATTATTATTATTATTATTATTATTATTATTATTATTATTATTATTATTATTATTATTATTATTATTATTATTATTATTATTATTATTATTATTATTATTGTTATTATACATGTACTTGTATTGTTAGAATTAATTATGAATTTAACACTTTAAAATTTAGCTTGAATGTGTTTTTCTCTCTCTCTCTCTCTCCCCAGGTTCCTTCTAGTGATCAGTACAAGATAAAATCACTTAAAAGTATAAGAGAGACTTCATCTCCTTCGCCGTCTTTACCAAGAGGAGGAGAAAAGACAGAAGTTGGGAGGGTGAGTTCTAAACTATACATGTATATGTACATGTACATGTACTTGTTTTTTAAATTATAATAATTAAGAATTAAAATTTTTTAATTATAATAATTATTATAATTTTTTGGTTGCATTAAATAATTGATAGGTTGCATCTGAAGACTCACCTTTAGTGAGAAAGACGACGAAACACAAAGTGAAAGAAGTGAAGGACACTCCAGAACACGAGGACAGTGATCAAGGTAATATAAAAAGATTTACTGAAATATACCAAAGTGCACTAAAATGTACTAGAATATCCAGGAATATACTAAACTACTTAGAGTTATTGACTTTCTGGATGTGTAATTCATGTCTGAAAAAAACTGCAAAATTACATATACATGTACATGTACATGTGCATCTAAAAACTGCCAAATGTATTTTTATTGCAAAATCTCAAATTAAGCAGCTGTGGATTAAAGAACTAGCTGGATTATCTTATGCACTGTATTCATGCACCATTTTATCAATTTATTGTTGTTACAAAAATGTAACGGAACATTTTAAATGCAATTTTATTCTTTTTTTTAAAGTGTTACAAATGTATCTGAAACTTATTTACTACAATTTTATCTTCTTATTATTGTCAATTTGATGTACATTTACATGTACTTTTCCCCTATAAATTTATTTCTCTCTCTTTCTTTCTCTGTTGCTCATTTTCTCTCCTTTTTCTTTCCCTTTTAGCCGACGATGACGACATTTTGGTGAGTGGCTGGGGAGGCAAGAGCGAAGAAGATTTAAGCGACAATCTATTGAAACTCTGGAGTGACATGTTAGAGAAATGGGACGGGAGAGACAAGTGGGAACCTAAAGGAGAGAAAACCCGATCAAGACAACTGATAAAACTCGTTCGAAAAGTACAAACTTGTAGTTTAAAATTATAAAATTGATAATTGATTTTTTTTCGTGTTATAAGGGTATCCCTGGTCCTTTGAGATGTCAAATATGGCAAATGTTGTCAGGAGCTGATAACGATCCACAACTTATCGAAGCTTTTAGGATACTGTGCACTAAAGTAGGTCACTAGTTATAAGCTGTAAATATGTACTAGGGAACATGTTGTTAGCAACTTCTGTGGTGACTTTGACCTTGTGACTAAACATAGAAATCTGCTCTATAATTTCTATTTATGAAAAAAGTTTATTATAAGATCAAAGTAACCACAAAATTTGCTAGCAACATGTTACCTGGCATACATGCATGTTCACTATGTTGGGCTTATAATATTGTATCAAGTTTCTAATATAATTCATTCTTTTTCTCCCTCTCTCTCTCCCCCTCCCTTTCACAGGATTCACCTACTGAGAGTGTTATCAAATGGGACATTAAACGTACATTCACTGGTCACGATTTCTTCTCTAAGGACAAAGAGCAAGGAAGAGAGTCACTGTACAGGATTAGTAAAGCTTATTCTGTGTATGATGCTGAAGTTGGTTACTGTCAGGGGTTCTCATTCATGGCAGCAGTTTTGTTGTTACAGGCAGGAACCTCTCTCTCTCTCTCTCTCTCTCTCTCTCTCTCTCTCTCTCTCTCTCTCTCTCACTCTCTCTTTCTCTCCCTCTCTCTTTCTCTTTTTCTAATCTTTTTCATTTAATCTTTCTCTCTCTTTTCTTTCTATAGAAAATACCAGAAGAGCAGGCCTTTGCTGTAATGGTAAAGCTGATGTACAATTATGGCCATAGAGAACTATTTAAGGCCAACTTCAAAGAACTTCACCTCATGTTCTATCAACTGGACAGACTTTTAGAAGTAAAAAAAAAAAAATTGACAACATACATGTATATAGTACATGTAATAAATGAAAGTACAATGTGTGGCTGTAGAAAATTTGGATTGTGACAAATTTATCAAATTTTTGACGATTGAAAAATATTTTGACAACATAGTACTGTATGCCCCCATTAAATTAGAAGTGTAATGCTAAAAAATTTGCTCTTTTACATAACAAATTTTTAATAAATAAAGGAGTGATATAATTATTGTTTTTTGCCATAGGAATATCACAGGGAGTTGTACGAACATTTTGTTAATAATTCAATAGAGACACACATGTATGCATCTCAATGGTTCCTCACTATATTCACAGCTAAATTCTCACTCCAAGTCGTCTATCACATTATTGATATATATCTGTGCGAGGTATGGTGGGCGGGGCTAGTTATTAATAATTGATTAATTAATGAGTGGTTAATTAATTGAAGTTAATTGGGTTTTTTAGGGTGTGATAATTGTATTTCAAATTGCACTAGCACTACTAAAAGTAAGTGTGATCATATTCCGATGTATTTATTTTTTTTAATTTTATTTTTTGATGTTATTGTTGTAGTTGGCACAGAGGGATCTTCTGGCTCTTGATTTCGAGGGGATTTTGAGCTACTTTAGATCGGACCTTCCAAAGAAATATAAAACTGACGAAGACGTAGCAAATCTCTTTCAAACTGCCACTCATTATGGAAAGGTGAGAGAGAGAGAGGGAGGGAGAGAGAGAGAGAGAGTGCTTCACATATTTATGATACTATTTTAGCTCTGCTTGTCTGTACATGTACATGTACATCCTTTTCGTATACATATACATGTACATGTACATGTATATGTACATGTACATGTTCATACAGTGCATGTACTGTACATGTATACTATACTCATACTATTATTGAATTATTGTTGTTTCCTTTAGGTTAATCTCAGGAAATTAAAGAAGCTTGAGAAGGACTACCAGGTTTACCTGGAGCAACTAGCACAAGAGGAAGACCCAGAGAAGAGACTTTTGGTAAAAAGAATAATAAAAGATCTCCATACGAAAAAGTTTATCAATATAAATCATATGCTACTTCCCCCTCTCTCTCCCTCTCTCTCTCTCTCTTTCTTTAGAAAGAGAATAAATTGCTTCAGGAGAATGTTCTAAGACTCCAGAGGGAGAATGATGATCTTGCTGAAGAGCTAGTTGGTAGTAAAGTGGCTCTGAGAGTAGACATGGACAAAGTAAAGAGGCAGAAATGCACTCTATACCTCTATTTTATTTTTCTTTAGCTTGAAGAGAGGATTGATGTGCTTAGTAAAGAGTGCAGGGCTCACAAAACATCCTTGGACTCTTCAAATTTGCTTGTTTCTGAGCTTAAAGAAGAGCTGCAGCAGGTAGGTAGCTTTATAAACTTATCTTTGAGCAGTCAGAGGTAGTTGTGTCAGGATGGCCGAGTGGTTAAGGCGCCAGACTCAAGGCAATTCCCTTGCCCGTAATGCGGGTTATGTGAGTGTTCTGGTCCACGTATGTGGGCGTGGGTTCGAATCCCACTCTTGACACCATTTTTTTCTTTTTTTTATCCATTTCTTTTTCTTTTTTTTTTCTTTTAGGCAAAGACAACTTATCAAAAAGCCATGATCCAACTAACAGAAGAGAGGCAGCAACACGAAGTAGCAATCACCGAATACAAGCAGGTTGGTAGCACCTGGCTTTGTTATTTTTATTTGAATTAATGATCAACTTGATAGCTACATAAGCAGTTGGATGAGGGCCATCAAAAACAGAAGGAAGAGCTACATCAAGAACTACTGGAAGTCAAAGTAAAGATAAAATTTAGTAACTGATGTGAAGTAAAACTTATTCTTTTTGGCCTCTCTCTCCCTCCCCATCTTCCTCTCTCCCTCCCCCTCTCTCTCTCAGGCTAAACTTGGCAGCCCTGGTTCAGAATCCTCCACTTCTGATCATCTCTCCTCATTATCCTCAGAGCAAAGACTAAGACAAGTAGAACTAGAACTAGCACAAACTAAACTCGCACTGGTAGAGGCCCAATGCAAAAACCAGGAACTAGAACATAAAATCGCTGAACTAAACAACGAACTATCATCAAAAGGAAAAGCATCGTCTTGGCTCTCTAGATTTAACTAGTGACGCGTGCGTGCGTGTTTTACCTTATTATTATTATTTGTTGTTATTATTATTATTATTGTTTGTTTGTTGTTGTTTATCCGCTGTGTTTGTGTGGCATTTTAGTAATTATTACAACCATAAGGTGCATCATTACTGATGTTATTGTTAGAGAAAGAAATTTTCAGACACACACACACACACACACGCATGTACATACACATAATGTAGTAAAACCATGTACATGTACATCTGTACAGTTTATGCATGACTATGCATGTAAACAGCTGTCAATTTAATATTTAAAATAATACTTTAATTCTATTTGCACACACATTGATTACTCTAGAGCTTCTGTGTTATAAAAGTGAGTACTATTGTATTGTATCGTAGTGATAGAATGATAGTGTCATTGTTATTGTTATTTCTTTACACTCCTCCTTCTATTTCTCAGAATATTCATACTCTTCCCACCGATGCTGTAGCTAAAAATAGTAACACTGGACAAACAGAATATCTTGCATTGTTTCTCATACACCTCCTCCCTCCCTCCACTGACTGCGAAGCTTCATTAAAGTTGTGTACTGTTTTCAAGGATTGGGGAAACACCGCCATTAATTCCATGTAGTAGGAGTACATGCTTACTACTAATCTTTCGGTAAAGAGCCACTTAAGCAAACATCGAAAGCAGACAGTTCACCAGGGGAAGCACCTTATTATACTAAGAAGTGACAGAAAAGGGACAGTTATACTCATAATTGTAGCCTTTGAGTAGTAGCTTGTTGTCTTTAAAGCTACTCATTCATTGGATTAAAACTTCTCTAAAAGGAAAGAGGGGGTTTTTTGTCTTCTTATAACTAGTATTTAGACTGCAGCTTTTACTGAATTGTTCATACATTTAGTCATAAAGGATAAACTTAGTATAGCTATCGAATCTTTCTACCTCAATCTCTGAGCAATGACTGACAACTGGCCAACTGCTTTCATTGATATTACAGTTAATAATGGATTGCTTTCAAAAGCAGGAGACGATCAAAAAGCAGCTGCTAAAGAGGATACCTCAAAGAACCTTGTAACAGCTATCAAGCAACTAGTGCCTCATCTCCACGAGGTAATGAGCATCTATATGTTGTAATAGGTCTGCATTTTAGAAGTAGTATAGAAGAGCCTGCATGCTAATGCATTATTGTGCCAATTCTGTTTCTTGTTGAAGTTAAAAGAACATTACCCTGGGCTATTTCAGGCAACAAAGCTATGCAAGTACTGTCTAGTAGTACTGAGATTAAAGGCTGTAAAGTCACTGCATATGAATATACCATTGGAATCTCTTGCATGACATGATAAAGTCTTATCTTATGCATGTATGATGCTGTAATCACTCTCTCTCTTTCTCCCAATAGAAAACCACAGGGAACTGTCGCATTATGCTAAGAGAGGTCTCATTTAGTGATTGCTGTGTTGCTGATGTGACTCGATTCACTCCAAAGCCACACTCTCATCCTTACGATGGTGATACCAATCCTCACGATGCAGTCATCATTAGCATCGTTGCACCACGTAAAGATAAGAACAACCATGGCCTCACGGTAAATGATGTGCAGCATATTGGAGACTCCATTAAAGATTTACTACAGAAGGAGCCATATAAGATTGACAGGAAGTAAGAGCTTGCGTATATACTAGTATAATTCCATTGAGTATACCTTTGCTGAATATTACAATCACTTTATCCTTAGAAGTTAGTGATTGCTTGCATTTAAATATATATACCATGAGCTTTTTGGATTTTACTGCACTTTCATAATGGAGCTGTTTTAGCTATTTTATGCATGCATGGAAATAATGTGGAGGCTGAATTGCTTAAACAAAACATAGAGTAGATGATGCTTTGATAGAGTAAATACACAATGTATAAGAGTATCTTTATTGATGTGTGGTCATAATATTCATATCCTGTGTTCACTGATGGGAATTGCTGTTTACTGACCTGTCATTATAATTTTCTTTATTGTTTATAGGAACATCATTGTCGTCCAGCAAACAAGTAATTATTATTATCATTAATAATTATTATTGTTATTATTATTAAGATTAAACCAAGCAACCAGTTCCCTCCTTCACTACTAATTTAAAGTTATAATTTAATTAAAAATAATCAATCTATTCACAACAACATAACAATAGAGCAAGGAATAGAGGCATTTCACTGAACAATTGAACATTATGTTATAAGTATGATTTTTGACATTATTGTTATACTGTGTACCATTTAATGAAAGTTATTATTCAAATGTTTTGTCAATGCGAGGATGGACGAAACGTGAATAAAGGCAATAGCACAAAAGTGCCAATATACCAGCTGCAATAGAAGCGATAACAATAGGGACCACAACAAACCAATATAGCTCCTTTCTTGGAGTGAACGAGAAATTAACGTTGAAGGTTGAAAGGCTCAGATTAAACTTCAAAACAAGAATCGGTTTCTTGCCCAAGGAGACGTATTGAGAGCAGTTAGAGTATTGATTAAAGAGGCAAGAGGGTTTCAGGCCGTTGACGTCAAATAGCAAAGTATTATACGTCATATTGGTAATAGCTTTAGTGCTGCTACCAATGTACGAGACACTATAGTAGCCATTTTGAGGAATACGACAAGTTTTGATGATATCTAAACTTTCGTTCACTTCAACTTCATAAGTTTGCTTACAAAATGATGCTTCATTTTGGTCAAGGAGCTGGAATGTAACGGAAATCTTTCCCGTGATTTCACTATCTCCATTTTCTTCGTCTTCGATGCTAAAAATTTTGAAAA